AGTGATGGCAAAATTGTAAATGAGGCAAAGAGATCATCTCTGAAAGTAGTTCTTGGATCTGTCCAAGCACCTATACTGGATTCTTTCAAAAAGGGTGGAAAACCTTCTCCATCAAGCAGTAGTTTGTTGTGTCCCTGAGAGATGCTCAGCTGATCTCTGATCTCTACAGCCCCAACTGAAAAAGAGACGATCTCCCCAGAGCTTTTACATCTGCTTTAACTTGTTCTAAGCCTGGCTTAGCTAATAGGTTTATTCTCAGCTTCTGGAGTTCTCTTTGTCAACAATTACTTTTAATTTTGGCCATCACTGAAATGAAGAGGAAACACAGGAAGAGAGAAAGAGAGAGACAGAGAGACAGAGACAGACAGACACAGACAGACAGAAAGAGGGAGAAATAGATATAGATGATAGATAGATAGACAGACAGACAGACAGACAGACAGACAGACAGACAGACAGACAGACAGATAGTATGGAAATGTAGATGGGGAAATTGCTACACATATCCAGAGCAAATTTACCTTGATTACAGAATTATCTGCAAGTCTCCTGAGAAAAATGTTGACTCCTAAAGGTATATAATATACCTTTGTTCCTTTCCAGTATCATCTGGTACTAGGCTACAAAGAGGTTTTCTTTGAAGTAAACATTTATTCATTTGGAAAATCTATATGACCATCCTTCTTACATACCATAACTTTGGCTGCTCACAGCTACATCAACAACAACAAAAAAAAAATAATAAAAATCCCCCCAAAAACAGCGCCTGGCACTGTTAAGTAACATTCTTAAGTAACAATTATTTTATTCTTGTTTTTAACTTTTTTACTATATTTATATATATCCTTTATGTTTTTATATCTATTTGTACACTGCCCAGATGCACTCTATGAGGGAGATAGACAGTTTCTAAATATAATATATAAATAAATAAAAATAAACACCCTGGTTGCTATTTCTGTGTGTGATGTTTTTATGTTTTCTTTTAAGATTGTTAGCTGCCCAGAATCGTGGATTTGAGATGGGTGGTCATTTAAATTGAAATAATAAACAATAAACATTCCCCAATAACAACCAGTGAGCTGATCAGCCTCATCCCATCCCACTGTTTAGGGGAAGAGTCAGCTTTTTTCTCAAAGGCTATAAGGGGGGAGCCCTGTCAGGTCCCAGTGGGAGGATTTTCCACAAGGCAAGGACTGCTACTGAGAAGGCAGATTTCTTAAATTCTGCTACATGACAGCCCTTAAGGGAAGGGGCATGGAGCAATCCCATTCTATCTAACCAGGCAGAATGGACAGAAACCCTCAGGAAATCATATTCCTCTTCCCTAACACAATGTAGCATAAGGAGAGGCAGAGCATGGGGGTGGAGTCAAGGGAGGAATCAGCATGGAGTCATTAAGTTCCCACAAGCAACCCAAGTTTAATCCTCCTCTCTCAAATTACATTGACCCTTATAATGCCAGTTTAGTGCTGACTATTAGTTGATTAGGTTCTTGTGTATACATTTGAATAATAAATCTTTTTATCTGGAATGTAACATTTGGTCCTCTTTCTTTGTGCCTAAAACATGGCTTCACTAAGTGTGCAAAGCAGCAGACAGAACCAGGAGAAGTCTTCTTATGTTTTCCCTGGCAACTTCCGTTCATCTAAAGGACTATTTTTTCCCTACACTTACCTCTTTGCCATAACAAAACTATATCTTTAGCTATTTTGTCTTTAGAATCTGCCTTCTCCTTTCTTTGGGGGAGGGGGAGGTCAGAATTCCACCATGAACACTTCCAAAATTCCCTTACTCCTATTTTCTGCTAACAATTAATTTAAAATAATTTATGATATGATATCATGTATCATGGGGCAACAGTTTTTGAATCAAAGAATCTTAAATGGATTAACTATGGATCCAAAATTTGGGATCTCCTGTGGTCTGGAAATTTCAAGGAGCTTCAGGCCACTTGTACTGGCAAAGTTGTGGTCACTCCAGCGGTGCCACATTGCCTTACAGTGCTGCCACTGCAGTCATGTGATCACAATTTCTGATGCTCCCAGCCAGCTACTCACAAGCAAAGTCAATGGGGAAGCTGGTAGGAAGTTGGAGATCGCTCCTACTCCTACTGCTTTTTTGCCTGCCCGTGATTCTGTTTATCTGTGGCAGTTCTTTTTTAAAAAAAATACCTGTTATCTAGTACATTTTTAAAAAAGATCTGCCACAAATTTACTCATGAGCAATAGGAGTAGCAAAATACTATCCTAGAAGATGTTGGAGAAGACTCTTGAGAGTCCCTTGGACTGCAAGGAGATCAAATCAGTCGATCCCAAAGGAAATCAACCCTGACTGTTATTTGGAAGGACAGAAACTGAAGCTGAAGCTCAAATATCTTGTCTAAAATGAGAAGAGAGGACTCCTTGGAAAAGACCCTGATGTTGGGAAAGATTGAAGGCCAAAGGAGCCATTGGTTAGATAGTTTCACTGATGGAATGAACACAGATTTGGGCAGACTCAGAATACAATGGAGGCTGGGGGGCCTGGTGTGCTATGGTCCATAGGATCACAAAGAGTCAGACATGACTTACTGACTGAACAACAACAAAAAAAACAATCCTAGAAGAAGAAAACAATATTCTGTGGCTTTTTATTCATATCTCATGGGAATCCTTTGATTTTGCATGGTTATCCCCATTGCACATCCAAGTGTTTTTGCTTTTTTAACCATCATGACCCTACAAGGTTTTGAAAACATCTTTGACAGTTACATAGTGTGGTTTCCCACCACTCCTGGATCAGTGACCATGACTTCTGTTTTCTTGTCTACCAAGAAACCCACCACCCAACTCTGACTGCACCTTGCTGTCATGCCCTCAAACCGCCTAGTTTTTCATGTGGTCAAATGTCAGTCTTTTTTATTATTATTATTTATGAGGCTTTAATTCTTTCACTTTATGTTGCCTTGTCAAAGCCAGATATTTAGCTTTCAATGGAATATAGTTGTGAGGACACAGCTCTTCCTGAAATGCTATCAACACTTGAGCCCATTCACATGCTTTGCCCCAATAAAGCTTTATGCATAGTAGTTTTGTCTCATAGACCAGCCTGCATTTATTTATTTTATCGAAAGTAGAGTATCTAAGCCCTCTTTCTCTCATACAGAATTCAAGGCACTATGCACATTCCTTGTTCATCAACTAAGAACAATGTAAGATTTTGATGTCATGTCTTAGAAATTCTTATCCTGCTGAAGCCCCTAACATAAACTCATGAAGCGTTTCTTTTTAAATAAGGAAAGAACCCTGGTGCCTACTTTATTACAGGAAATTCATGTTGGACAAAAATAAACAATATACTACCCCTCAGCTAAGGAAAAAGTCAGTAGCTTCCCCCTGTCATGAATTCTCCTTTGTTCTTGTGCTGAATAGGTCTGCATCAGCTATTTACCCATTTTAAATTGGGAGGTGAAAGTAAATTTTTAGAAGGCAAATGATGTCTGGGACCACCCCCTCCCCCAATGATTAAGGCTACTAACTTTTTTTTTTTTTTCAGCCTGCTCCTGTTGCCATTCGGTGCCATTCTTTTCATTTGTTAGGGTGTTATTTTCCAACTTGAATTTATCCCAGCCAATCAGAGATCAGATAGAACAGTGTTTCTCAGCCTTGGTATCTTTAAGACGTCTGAACTTCAACTCCCAGAATTCCAGGAGTTGGCTGGAGAATTTTGGGAATTGAAGTCCAGACATTTTAAAGTTGCTAAAGTTGAGAAATACTAAGGTAGAATATGCAAGTCGCACATAAATGATTGATATGTACTGATATCACTATAGGAAATTAAATTCAGTTACAATAAGAACAGTGTGGCTTACGCTGATCAGATTGCGGAGGCAATAAAAAAATGTGTTGATGTCCCTGGAGGAAAATCAAAGCCTAATCAGGACAATATTTGGAGAACAGATGAAGATGTTAATACCTTCCTTTAGAGATGTTTGAAAAAAGTATCAAATTGGAAGAAACATGATGCCAATTAAAAATCCTATTTGCTATCCCATCCCAGGTTTTTTAAATTTTATTATATTTTAATAGATTAGCCTCAGGAACAATATCTCTAAGTAATACTATTTCAGGTTGATTTTCACACATTGTCCCACACTATGTTCATCAAAGCAATGAGGATCTGTTTGGCTCAGGACTATATTGACAGGCTTGGATCCTAATTTAAATTATCTCAAGGAAGTATATGGAAGAAAAATTCCCTGTCCTTTCACCTTCCACCTGTTCCCCTACTACTCCTAAATTATTATCCCCAGCATCATTTAGTCCTGAAGTAATGTAAGATAGAGTATAAAGGATTGAGATGGGGGGAAATTTTCCTTCACATAAATTGCTTTAAAATCCTTAAAAGTTTTGCCTCTCTCCTCATTTTCCCCCATAGGAATCCAAGGAAATAGACTGCGACTTCAGGGTCTTTCTCCTTCTCACTTATACTGCTTGATATATAAATTGTTGATAGGGGATCCTTTGACGTTATAGGTCAGACACCTCTTCTGGAGTTAGCAGAATTATCTACAATTTTTCCATCTCTGATTCTATGACATATTGTATTCATTCATTGTCCTATCAACTAAATTTAGTTCCTGTGGAAAGCAAGTCAGAATAGCACCATAAGTCACATGCACTTAAAATAGAACAGTTTTCAAGGAGGAGGAGGAGGAAGGAGAGAGGAGGAGGAGGAGGAGGAGGAGGAGGAGGAGGAGGAGGAGGAGGAGGAGAAGGAGAAGGAGAAGGAGAAGGAGAAGGAGAAGGAGAAGAAGAAGAAGAAGAAGAAGAAGAAGAAGAAGAAGAAGAAGGAAGAAGAAGAAGAAGAAGAAGAAGAAGAAGAAGAAGAAGAAGAAGAAGAAGAAGAAGAAGAAGAAGAAGAAGAAGAAGAAGAAGAAGAAGAAGAAGAAGAAGAAGAAGCTCTTCTACAGTAGCTTTTTTCTCTTCACCTCTCAGTATAGGTAGGAGAAATCTTACCTACAGACTGGCCAACAATCTATGTTCTGGATCCATTGAACATGCTTGTGTATTCTTTTATTGTCTTTGTTTTGCTCTGTTTTTCATTCTCCATCATTCCTTGAACCCCCCTTGTGGCTTACGTAGTACTAGTCTCCTGGTCTATCACTACTTCCTTCCCCAGTTTGTTCCTCATGACTATTTGCAAGCATTCATATTTTCTTTTGCCCAGGAGCAAAGAGTCCTGTGCATATATCTCACATAACGAGTAGGCAGCCATCCAAACTAAATAAATAAATGATTGGTTGGTGATTAATAATTTCCTATACTTTTCATGCTTTAATCTCATGAACCCATTTGGAAAATCAACAAGTAACACAACTCAAAAAAAAAAAAAATCAGTCACCTTAGGCTGGAAAAGGGTTAGCAGTTTTATCTTAACATGCCGTCCAGGTACCTTCTGATATAGTCTTAGTGTCAACCAGTTTATTTATTTCCTTGCTAAAGTTCAACGTTTAATAGCTGATACAGGTTACTTGCGGCCATAAAAGAGTATAACATTTAAAATGACAAGTTGAAAGATACAATTTCTAGAGCCATGAATTAGTAGCCATATATATCATGGATTTAGAAAAGTGACAACTTTTTGGATATTTATAGATGCATTACTGAACTATTAAAAAATGAAGTGAAGAAAGAGAAGTTAGAACTACGTATAATTAATCAAATATACTTAAGAAGTCACATTCAGACACCTTAGTGCACATTTCTTTTACTAGCTGGCAGATTTGGCTTTAGAAAAAAAATGTGTTACTGTCAGGATATGCTACAAATTACCTTCCCCCCTCCTTCCCCCCTTCCTTGTGGGGAGGGGGGGGAATGTCTGGTCAGCTGTATTGTTTTAAGTGATTGTCAGCCCTATATTACTCAGAAAGTATGAGGAAGTCCATGAAGTACCTCACAAGATTCTTCAAACCATTTTTCTCAACTTTGAATTCAATAGAAAATGCTTGCTCCTTGACCAAGCATGAAGTGGGGTTTTTCCATTTTATTATCCCTTAATATGCAATATTTAATGAGATGTGTTCACTTTTGAATCACTTCTCCCTTTTTCATCTGCTTTCCAATGGCAATTCCTTTCACAAATACACGGACCATGTGTGTGTGTATGTGTGTGTATGTGTGTGTATACATAGGAAATGTAGCAAATATATTTGGGAAGGGATATTAACCCACAGTTAGTGGAACCCTATCCCCATCACAAGATACAAGAAAACATCAGATTGAATCCTCCCCCCCCCCGATACGGCAGGCGTTGGTATTATCGGAAGAGGAGGGGATGCAAGGTTACTAATGCCTCCAAAGACCAATAGTGGAGGGACAGGGAAGGGCATCCGAAGAAAAGAACATAACGTTATAGACACATCTTGGTTATCAGCTGGCCAATCAAGGCCAGTAACACGGTCTAGGAGCCGTGCACAAACGTTACTTGAACCTACTTAAACCACCTTTATTGTAATGGACTTTTAGCCCTGACGATGCTGGGGATTTCCCCCAGCGAAAGCTTGGCAACTTTTTAGTATAAGTATATTTTTAGTAAAGTATTCTTATTTTAACCCTCCCGGTGATCGTATTCTATTCTTTTATTCATATATATATATATATATATATATGTATGTATGTATGTATGTATGTATGTTTTCTGAGGTTTATATATGTAGGTCTTTGGTTGTTCTTGGAAGTGTCTTGGCGACGTTTCGACGAAGTCCCATTCGTCATCTTCAGGCTGGTACTTTCAGCTTCATGCTTCGAGGAGCAATGTGTGGTCTTAGCTGTTTCTTCCTTTTAACTGCCAGTGGAGATATGAACTGATTGGGTGGGAGCTTGGCTGTGTTCTGATTGGGTGGAGGTGTGTTCTGATTGGTTAGGGGCTTGGCTGTGCTCTGATTGGCTGGGGGGTTGGCTGTGCTCTGATTGGCTGGGGGGTTGGCTATGCTCTGATTGGCTGGGGGAGTGTTCTGTTTGGTTGTGCTCAGGTTAGTCTGAGTTGCAGGGGGGTTTAAGATTTTGGGCTGCCTTGCTATTTTTTGGCTTCGCGTTCGTGGTCGTGCCTCATCTTCATGGAGGGTGTCAGTTTGCTTCATGTATGGATTGGAGGGGTTTAAAGTGGCTAATGATGCAGCTGTGGTCTGGCTTCTGGGCACAACCAAACTAACCTGAGCACAACCAAACAGAACACTCCCCCAGCCAATCAGAACACAGCCAACCCCCCAGCCAATCAGAGCACAGCCACGCCCCTAACCAATCAGAACACACCTCCACCCAATCAGAACACAGCCAAGCTCCCACCCAATCAGTTCATACCCCCACTGGCAGTTAAAAGGAAGAAACAGCTAAGACCAGACATTGCTCCTCGAAGCACGAAGCTGAAAGCACCAGCCTGAAGATGACGAATGGGACTTCGTCGAAACATCGCCAAGACACTTCCAATTTTATGTGGGAGAAAACCCAAACAACCAAAGACCTACATACAAACACCCGCGAAAACCTCAGAAAACATATATATATACCTATATTTGCTGCATCTCCACATACCAAGATGAAACAGTACTTAAAATTTTTTTATTTATTTTTTTGTCAAGGTGTCATGTGGTAATCAGTTATTGTGATCTGCTAATGTATCTTTCACTCCAGGGTGGGACTACCTCTTCTTGAAAAAGAATATGGTGTTAGGGTTCATATTTACATGTATACAGCTGTAATTGCTTTCAGATTGTCGGGGTCTGCTTTTCCATTTCAAAAAATTGTGATTTATCACAGTACTTTTCATTCTTCTCTGATGAATTGACCTACAGCTGGAGGGAGAAGGTGCCCTACTATGCACATACATATTGAAAGTTACTGTGGTGTTTTGTTTTTTTTTCAAAATAAAATAAAATAAATGTAGAATGTTAAGTTATGCCATTGCTTTGAAGTGGAAAAACTACTGGAATGCTCATTAAAAGGAAAATTGTTATAAGTCTGCTAAAAGAAATATGAAGCTTTTGGAAAGCTCAAGAGAGAGTGATGCTATATACATTTCTATCAGTCTTCAAAATGATGCTGAAAATGAATACAGTTATCCATCAGCATTGCAGCCTGGAACCATCTACTTCTCTAAAGCTAGCTAGTACACCAAGCTTTACCTGTCATTAGGATGTCCTAAAGCAGGGGTGTCGTGTGACGTGCCGTGACGTATTGTGACTTTTTTCCCATTGCCGGCAATGGGGTGGGCACGGTTTCACCATGACACATCGGGCCCGTGGGCCGGGACACCTCTGTCCTAAAGTAACTCAAAATGAATTAAGCTTCTGTAAAAGCCTTGGAAGCTCATTAGGTAGAGAAACACAGCCTAGAAGTTTGTCTCTTAAAGATGATGACCTCTTCTTTCAAAGCTCCTCATAACAGCAGGAGGAGAAGAGGGCAACATTGTGGCCCAAAGCTGTAGCTTTTCATCAGGGAATAATTACCAGGACTCTTTATTTCAGAAATCTCTGTCCTTTGGAGAAGGAATTGATCAGCAATAATCAACTGAGCAGAAAATTAAAACAAAGTGTCAAGACTGATTTTAATTCAACCAAATGCTCTAACCCTTGTACCCAGTCCCCTCAAACTGTACTATAGCCTACTTGCTTTGGGCATATTTACATTACTGGCTATTCTTGTTGAAACTACTCTCTCCAAAATATGAGAGAGAGAAAGAGAGAGAGAGATGGGGGTGGGGGGAGAAGGAGAGAGAGGGAGGGAGGGAGGGAGGGAGGGAGAGAGAGAGAGAGAGAGAGAGAGAGAGAGAGAGAGAGAGAGAGAGAGAGAGAGAGAGAGAGAGAGAGATTCTTCCCAACAGAACCTTTAAAACCTTTGCACAATTTCTCACAAAATAATAGAGAGAGAAGCAATATTTATTTTCAAAATTCCTTTCATTGAAAATAATGTACTAATAGGCAGCAGTTATACATGAAAAATTCCTCTGAATCTACCTGTTCCCCCCCAAAAAAAAACCTCAAAAAGACAAAAAAGATGATGGCTTTTTTAAAAAAAGACAGTTTTTAAGATGCCAATTACAAAAACTCCTGCACCTGTTTAGCCGAAGTGGTTGGGTTTCATCTATTCAAAAAAGACTTTTATGCCTTACAGAATAACAGAATTGGAAGGGACCTTAGAGGTCTTCTAATCCAACCCTCAGCTAAAAAAGGAGACCCTATACCATTTCAAACAAATGATTGTCCAATCTCTTCTTTAAAATGTCCAGTGTTGGAGCATTCACAACTTCTGGAGACAGGTTGTTCCACTGGTTAATTGTTCTAACTGTCAGGAAATTTCTTCTTAATTCCAGGTTGCTTCTCTCCTTGCTTAGTTTCCATCCATTGCTTCTTGTCCTGCCTTCAGGTGCCTACAAATTTCACCCAGTTCTGGCAAAAAAAATGCTTTGAACTTGACACAAAAAGCTATAGAAACAGTATGCTAGAGATTGCCACCATCTTTAGCAGACCAATAAAAGAAAGAATGTGTAAAGAGAAAGGTGGCTCATAATAATCCCTAACATGTTTTGAAATTGTATCCACACCACCCAGAAATGTTTTACAGTGGCACATACCTTGTCAGAGCTGGAAGTTAGCAAAGCATCACAAATTATGAATTTTGCACATGAAGTAATGTCTGTGTGATAACGTGTACTTCCCCAGAGGCTCTTTTTATTATTATTATTTGTTCAATTTCTTGTCAGCCTAGATGTCTTGGCAAGCCCTCCCACCACCATCACTACACTGTGATATTGGAAGAGAAATTTGATTAACAACCATTATTTTTACATGATTCGGCACATCACTTTCTTTTTTTTTTTGGTTCTGATGTTTCATGTGTGATAATATGAGCTTCCTCAGAGGTATGTTTTCATTTAATCAGAAATCCCTACACATCAAGAGACTGTATCCCATGTGGTCTAACAACCCAAAAAAGAGAAAACATGGTGCTTCATTAAAAGCTGTGGAATTAACCTACTGCATGTTAAATCTTAGGTTACAACAAAAGCCCTCAAAAAGGTGAAAATTAAAAGATGCCACCTCAAGAGCTCAGCAGAACCTGAAATAATTTAAATTTTTCTCAAAGGCTTTTTGAAACAGGATGAAGATCAGTTAGAAGACAGCGGTGTCTGTCCAAAATTATCAGACCAAAGAAGAAAAACAAAACCTGCTAAGCTTCATTCGTGAATTGCATTTCCTCCCTGTCACTTAGATTTTTAACTACATGAAACAGGGAATGTGGTGACGCGGCACAATATATAATTTCTTTGATATTTCAATATATGTTTGCTTTAAAAGGAAAAAAGAACTTGAAAGAAGGAAGGTCTGGGATATAGCTACACTGTAAATTTATTTTTGTCTTATATCATAGTAACTCTAATTGCTTCCAGCCAAAAATCCAGTGAACTGTA